AAAAAAAAAAAGACATACTACTGTAAAGTTGTTTTTTCCTAAAGTACAACCTTGGTATTCAGGTTTCTTTGCCATGTTGACACTTTGCAACAAATAAGTAGGTTGTGGATTGCAGATTGGCACATGGTCTCTAAAGATTCACCATCACTGGCCTAGTCTGTTTGGTCATGGAGACAGGTTGGATGTTAGACAAGGCCTCCCAGGATGGCCCACCATAGCCCACTGGCCACCTCATGATACTCTGTTTTTGTTTTGTTTTGCAGTACCAGGGATTGAACTCAGGACCTTGTGCTTGCCAGGCAGGTACTTATGCTGCTGAGCTATATCCCTGGCCTCTTAACGATACTCTGTGATAGCTAAAAGGTTCAAGTTTCCAAATGGTGTTGGACCTGTACGAAGACCACTGCTGAAATCATCTGGGTATCATGACACAGTAACTCTGCCTTTTACCTTCCCTACCTGCAACAGTGCTGTGCCTATTTCCCGCATTGCCATTTCCATCTAAAACTACCCTCCTGGTAGAAAAGCTGCCCACCCCTCCACCCCCCACCCCCGTACTCTGTGCCCATTTTCCCCTTCTTTGGCTATCTGGGTCTTTAGGGCTTGATACCCCCAAACCTCACCCACCAGCACATGCTTCTTTTGTCTGTCTTTCCTTGCTTGCATTCAGGAAGCACAAAAGAACTGACCAAAGCTGAGGACCTTTACTTCCCCAAGGACAGGAACCAGGAGTTGGGCATCAGGGAAGGGAGGGAGGAAAGAGAAAGGCTTTAGCAGAAGCTGGATCCACAGTGTCCCAGTTGCATATCCCTACCCCACACCCTGCTGTCAGAGGAGATGGAATGATCTGAGTTCTCCAAGTAAGCAGGTTTATGAGCCAGGCATGGCCAGAACTCTAGGAGGCTGAAGCAGGACGGTTGAAAATTATGCCCAGACCAGGCAATTTAGTGACTTAAGTACTGTCTCAAAAAATAAAAAGGAGGCCGGGGAGATAGCTCAGCAAACTAAGCACCTGCTTAGGCAAGCGGCAGGGACTTGGGTTGGATCCCTGGCATCACATGCCACTCCTCCATGAGCTGAGCGGGCCACCTAGACTGGGCGTGGTGGTGCACGCCCGTAATCCCAGTCCTGGGGAGGCTGAAAATAGAAGGTTCACTAGGGGTCTGAGCTGTGTAGTGAAACCCTATACCAAATACATTTTTTTAAAAAAAGGTCTAAGGATGTAGCTCTGTGAGAAGGCCCTGGGATCAATTGTCTTTTTTTTTTTTTTTTAATATTTATTTATGTGTGTGTGTGTGTGTGTGTGTGTGTGGCCAGCTCAGCCCACCAGGGGGCGGGGCTGGCTGGCATGT